TATATATATATATATATATATATATATATATATATATATATATATATATATATATATATATTTCTGAGCATAAGGGACTTGTGTGTGTTTATGTGTGAAGATACGTATCTGTGACTTCACTGACTTGTACATAAAACTCAGTGTTCTCTGGTTTGAAGGATGGTGCAGCAGTTTGCAGTGGATTTTGAGAAGTGCATTGAGGGTTCAGGAGATCAGGTGGATACAGTGGAGCTGTCCGGAGGTGCAAGGATCAATCGCATATTCCACGAGCGCTTCCCCTTTGAGCTGGTTAAGGTAATTTCATCATACTGTTGTTCTCTAAGAGCAAAACATATAAAGTAAGCGTTTCTCTGTCTATTGATGATGACTAGATGGAGTTTAATGAGAAAGAGCTGCGTAAGGAGATCAGTTATGCCATCAAGAACATCCACGGTATCAGGTGTGCATCAGCCTCACAGTCAACATTCAACAGCTCTCCTGCTCTGAGATCAAACTCGCTTTGGTGTTACTGTGACATTCTGAGCAACTGCTCGCTAGATATGAAGTACTGTACGGTGAGAACCATGCCATGAATATCAACTGCAATGACAAAGTGATCAGTAACTGTAAAGCACATCATTTAGGTCTCTGACTGCTCTGTTCATCCCTTTCACTCATCAGGACCGTTCTGTTTACTCCAGACATGGCCTTCGAGACTATTGTTAAACGGCAGATTGCAAAGATCAAAGAGCCGTGTCAGAAATGTGTGGACCTTGTCATCAATGAGCTGGTCAATATGGTCAGGCAGTGCACCAAGAAAGTAAAACTCCATGTCTGTACAGCATACAGCTTCATATACACTACCATCCCAATTTAAAAAAAAAAACTTTTATTCTGCAATGTTGCATTAAATTGAGCAGAAGTGATAGTAAAGATGTGTATAATGTTACAAAAGATTTCTATTTTTAATAAATGCTGTTCTTTAGAACTGTCTATTTATCAAAGAATTTTGGAATCAGAGTTTTCACAAAAATATTCAGCGGCACAGTTATTTTCAACATTGGTAATAATAAGAAATGTTTCTTGAGCTACAAATAAGCATATTAGAATGATTTCTGAAGGATCATGTGACACTGAACAGTAATTCAGGAGTAATGATGATGACAATTCAGCTTTACCTTCACAGGAATAAATTACATTTATTTATTCAAATAGGGGAAAAAAGTTAAATTTAAAGTTAAATTAAATAGTTTTAAATTGTAATCACAATGTCAATATTTTACTTTATTTCTGATTTGAATCTGATATCAATCTGATATAAATGCAACCTTGATAAGCAACTTCTTTTGAAAACATTATATAATCTTACTGACCCCAAATTCATGTTCCCATATTCCATATATATACCCTATATAATGCCACTTTAGAGTGAATTTTATAAGTACATGTACAGGTCAAGTTTTTTTTAATTAATTATTTTTTTAAGCAATTAATTTAATAAATTAAATTAATAAAGATAACGCCAGAAAAGGAATTCTAGGTTTGAATTGTGGCATTATTTTAATTCATACACACACACACACACACACACACACACACACACACACACACACACACACACACACACACACACACACACTATA